TGGTTAGGCTGCCGAAGGAAGGAGGCGGGTCTCGTCGCATCGCCTTGGTACAGACGCTGGTTCGGGTGTGGGCTAAGGCCCGCAGCTCCATCAGTCGGCAGTGGGTTGCTCAGACAGACCTTCGCGATGTCTGGGGAGCTGGAGGCGCTGGTCGCACTTCCTCGGCGGCGGCGTTCGAGTATAACCTGATGGTGGAGGTCGCGTCGCTGCTTGGCTGGCACACGGCGACGGCGGCGGTGGATGCGTGGAAGGCCTACGAGTCCGTCAGCCCTGGCGAGCTGCTTAGTGAGGCCCGCCACCATGGTTTTCCCCTTCGGCTGGCCTGGATGGTGATCGAATACCATCGCCAGCCGAGGGTGCTGAAGGCGTTCACTTCCTTTTCAGAGGCCTTTGTATCATGGCAGGGCATGCTTGCAGGTTGTGCCCATTCCACCTCCCTCCTCGCGCTCCTCACCCTGCGCTCTGTGCGGCGAGTCCGAGCGAGTGGCGTCGTGCCCCGCGCATTGGTCGATGACCTCACGATTCAGTGGGTGGGGGCGGAGGCGGGTGGGATCTCTAAACTGTTTACTGCGCTGGCCAAGTTTAAAGCTGATGTTAAACCTCTGGGAATCGTTCTCCAGGACTCGGCCTCGGGGAAGTCTGGCTACGTGGTGGCCAATCGCAAGGTCCTGTGGGCCGCGAAACCCTGGGCTCGTGCGGTTCGGCTGGAAGCCAAGCGTAACATGCGGAACCTTGGTCACGAGCTCTCTGGGCGTGAGCGCAGGCGGCCGCTCACCCGACAGAGAATCGCTAAGCTTGGCCGTCGCATGAAGCGTGTTTATCCTCTGCAGAAGGCGGCTGGGACTCGGGTGTCCGTCCTGTGGCGCACTGGCCTGCTTCCAGGTGCTAGTCATTGCTGTGCCGTTTCTGGGACCACGGACGCCGAACTTCGGAAGCTGAGAGCTGCTGCGGGGGCTTTGGTTGGCGCCAAGGGTCGTGGGGGGTCCCTGACGGTCTACTTGGCGTTTCAGGCGGATCCGTGGTGTGACCCGATTTTTGAAGCCACGATTGCCCCAGTCAAACACTACGCCCAGGTTGTTTGGATGCAAACTGTGTCCCTGGGCACTCTCGAGAGGGCCTGGAGGGCCTTGGCCGAAAAGCGGGGTCAGAAATTCTCCTGGCTCCATGCCTCGGGCCCGCTTTCGGTGGTGGCGCTGTCTCTCCTTCGCGTTGACTGGTGCATGGAGTCTTCTGTGCTGGTCCGTTCCGATCAGGGAATGGTGTACTCATTGCTACAGATTGATCCGCAGCATTTAATCAAGTTGCTTCGTGCTGGCATCCAGCGCTGGCAGATGCGTCGCATCCAGGCTCATTTTCCTGGTTTCCCCGCGGACGCCGAGTTGTGGCCCCGTGGGATCCGCGCTTGTGCTGGGTCCAAGTGGGCCGCGCTCAAAAACCCCAGGTCGGCTGGAATCTTTCGGTCTCTCTGGTCCGACTCCTGGTGGCCCCAGGCCAAGTTGCATGACAAAGGGCTCGCCCCCGATCCTAAGTGTAGGGGCTGCGGAGCAGGCAGAGAGACGTGTGGTCACCTGTTGCTCGAGTGCCCAGTGCTGCGTGAGCAGCTGCTGGAGTTTGAAGATGAAGTTCCGATTTCTGAGTCCCTGGCCAAAACTCGTGATCGGTTTCTGGACCAGGGGCCGGTTGGGCGACCAGGGGCCGCTCTGGACCCTGAGAGTTTTGAGTTGTCGGTTGGGCTCCCGTTGCTCCCGATGGGTCCTCCTGACCCTCCGTGTGACCCACCGATTTTTTGGTGGGGGGATTGGGAATCTGATCCCTCGCAGTGGTCCAATGCTGCATTCACGGACGGGTCAGGTATGTGGTCGTCTCAACCTGAGATTAGGGCGTGCGGCTGGGGCGTGGTCCAGCTGAGCGCGTCGGGCATGCCACTAAGAGCGTGCTATGGCAGGCTCGGAGGCGCCAGCCAAACGGCTGGTGAAGCTGAGCGGGTCGCCTTTTTGCGTGCGGTGGAAAAAATCCCGTCGCTGCAGGTCATAGTCACTGATCTTTTGGGCCTGGCCAATGAAGCTCAGGAGTGGAGTGCGGAGTCTGAAGTCCAGGGGCTGAGCATGCCGCGGTGTGGCGGCAGATTCGTGCTGCGGTCGTGCGTCGCGGAGGGGTCCCGCCCACCACTCATTGGTGTCCTGCCCATAGGGGCCTCTCGGATGCGGCCCTGGCGACCCCTGGATCTGGCTCGCCGTTTTTGTACGTCCTAGGAAATGCCCGGGCTGATTTCTTTGCCAAGGCTGGTGCTGCCAGCCAGATGGTTGGACAAGGCACGGCTGATCTGTTTCGGATCGCGCTCAAGGAGTGTCAGGAGTTCGCCAAATATCTGGCTTGGGCTGGGGGTCGGGCCATTGATCTGGGAATTGGGGCGTCGTCGTTGTCGGATGGGGCTGCTCGTTCTCGTCCGAAGCCTGGCCCCCGCCCAACTCCCGTTGAAATTTTAGAGCCTGGTGAGCCCCTCGCGTGCCACAGCATGTATAGGAGTGACGCCGCCCAGGAATGGAGATGCAGGCGGTGTGGAGTCGCCACCAGGACTGCAGCTGGTCTCCGCGCCCTCAGGTCCTGCTCGGCGCGCTGCACGCCTACCGAGGTGCAGCGCTGGCAGGCCGCCCGTGCTTTCTCTCGCTGCTCCGATTGGAGGCCGACCTCCGATGCGGTCCAGGTCGCCCTGGAGGCGGCGGCAAGGGTCCTTGAGACGGGCCCCACCTGGGTGCCGAGCCCTGGGGAGGGCTCTGGGGCTCGGCGTTTTGCCGACTTGGCCCTGTTCCGCGACCTCGGCCATCGGATGGCTGAGGCGGGTGCGTACGTCTTCTGTGAGCGGTGTGCGTGCTGTGCTGGGGAGTCTGGGCGGGTGCTTGGTCTCAAAGCCCCTTGTCAGGGACCTTCGGAGGTCCCCAAGACCCTCAGCGCTCAGAAGACCCGCCTCCAGAGGTTGAGGAGTGGGCTGCCGCCTAGATAGCGGCTGAGGGTCCTGGGTCCTGGCTGACACCGATCTGGGGCCCTCGAGTTTTTGTTTTCTCTGTGTAGAGTGGGTTCGGGCGACTTGGACTCACCTTCTACTGGCGTCTCCTCCTCCTCCTCCTCCTCCTCCTCCTCCTCTCCTCCTCCTCTCCTCCTCCTCCTCCTCCTATTATTATCCTCCTCTTCCTCCTCCTATCTGCTCCTCCTCCTCCTCCTCCCCCTCCTCCTCATCCTCCTCCTCCTCCTCTTCCGCCTCCTCCTCCTCCTCCTCACCACCACCACCACCACCACCACCTTCAACACCACCAGCATCAGCATCACCATCATCATCACCAGCATCATCATCATCATCATCATCATCATCCTCATCATCATCATCATCATCATCAGCATCATCATCATCAACATCATCATCACCATCATCATCATCAACATCAGCATCAGCACCGGCATCAGCATCAGCATCATCATCATCATCACCACCACCACTACCATCATCATAATCCTCATCATCATCAGCAGCATCAGCATCAGCATCAGCATCAGCATCAGCATCAGCATCCGCATCATCATCATCATCATCATCATCATCATCATCATCATCATCAGTATCATCATCATCATCATCAGTATCATCATCATCATCATCATCACCACCACCACCATCACCATCATCATCATCATCATCAACATCATCATCATCATCATTATCATCATCATTATCATCATCCTTCTCCTCATGGTGTTCTGGCATGATTCAAAATCGTCAAGACGCAACAGTCGGGTTGATCCGTGGCGTTGGAATCCGGAGAATCATGTGTTGGCATCTGTCAGGGTCCTCAAACGGTTGTCTTCCAACCAGGCAGTTCCCTCAGTGGACATGAACAGTTGTAGTGGTATATGAAAATGGAGCTTGGGGGGAGGGTTTATTCCAACATCCTTGATGACTCTCGGGCTTCCACTGGTCCTCCTCCGCCTCCTCCTCCTCTTCCCCCCCTATCCTCACCCTCCTCCTCCTCCTCCGCCTCCTCCTCCTCCTCTTCGTCCTCCTCCTCGTCATCCTCCTCCTCCCCCTCCTCCTCCTCCTGCTCCTCCTCCTTCTCCTCCTCCTCCTTCTGCTCCTCCTCAACGCCCGAGCGTTGGGCAATCCTCGACCTCTGGGGCCCTTGCCCGGCCCAAGGTCCGTCAAAGACTGACCCAGGAAGAGAGGCTGGTCCCCGCGGAGGGGCCTCGACCCCTGAGGAGCCACGCGGTGAGCCAGGATCATGACGTCGCATCTCTAACGGATGTGGAATGTGCCCCAGAGGGCCTGGGGTCTCGCGGCAGAAGTTCCTGACGCGGGGCGCGGGGAAGGAGGGGCTTCCGAAGCACCGGGGCCGCGCTGGGCCTGGGCGAGGGCGGAGGCGGTGGAGTGGATAGAACAGGGACTGCTGGGGCGAGCCTGCTTCTCCTTACCCTCTCCATCCCTGCCTGCCTCTCCTCCCCCTCTCCCCCCAGTTCCCGCCTCCTCACCTTCCCTTCCCTCTCTCCCTCCCTCGCTCACTGCATCCCTGCGTTTCCCTCCATCGGCCCATTCCCCAGGGCGTGAGCCTTCCCCCCCCCCCAGGCCGCCACGCGGGGCCCACCCGTCACGACCGGGGTTGGCCCCCAGCATCTTCTGCAAACAGCGGCGACGAGCCCAACAGGCACGACGCCTGTGACGGCCCCTGCCCCATGAGAGCGACCAACTCGCCTGACCGCATCTGGTTCCCCCCTTGCCCCTCTCCACCCCCCACACGCGAGGCCCATCCGTCCCCGGGAGGGGCTCGAAATAGACACCAAATCGTTTGATCGGCATGAATCTCGGTGTATACAACACGCCCCGGCTTCCAACACTCCGGGATGTTGGAACGCCTGCGCACCGAACACCTTTGCTCAATGATTGGCTCTTGTGCCGACCAAACGACGTGGTATAGACATCAAGCCCCTCCGAGCCTCCAAAGGGCCGAGCTGGGCTCCCGGTATCTTCGTCCACTGGCGACGAGTCCAGCAGGCACAGCGCCTGCGACGGCCGCTGCCCGTTGAAAGTGACGAACTCACCCGGCCGCGAATGTGTCCTCGGCTGCTGGGCAAACAACACACTCCCCTGTCCCCGCCCTCGCTGTCCATGCTACTGGCGACCAGAACTTTCCTGTCCTTGCCTGCGCTACTTGGTACAGCCCTGTCTGGCCCGTCTGGGCCCACATCCCAGCCACACCGGTCGCATGGATCAACCGCGTCAAGCATAAACTGGGACTTCGACAAAAAAGTAGTATCGGACGGGCATGGGGACCCCTCAGTTGTCTCACGCAATCATCACAAACAAGAAACTGTCTCAAACCATTTTCCGGAAGTGGCTGGACACTACACGTGCTGTGGACGCAAGCAGCCGCCACGGAAGCGCCGCTGAAAAGACTTGGTTAAGTAGAAGTACGAGAGACACGACAAAGAGTAGACGGACAAGGACGAACCTGTCACGCATGCATCCCCAATGGCCCAAGCGGCCAATCCTATAGTTCAAACATGAACCACGGCAGCGAGGAAGGGAATACCATAGCCCCCGCAGTTGCGGATAAGTGAGAGGGCGGCAACGTCGTCGGCAATCTGCGAGGCTCTGATGAAACTCGCCGAAGGCCTCGTACGCTACACATCGAGCCAGCCGCAGGCGCCTAATTTCCGTCAAAGCATTGTGGGTGGGTCGCGGCTGGGTCGTGGGTAGAGCGCGAGTGGGTCGCAGACTGGTCGCGGGCGGGGCGCGGGCGGGGCGCGGGTGGACCGCTGGCGAAGGCGACGAAAACAATATGCAACAACGCACTTCAGCCACGCATCCAGGGGCGGTGTAATACCGCTCGGCCCCCTCATTCTGATAAATATACACAGATATGTAGGGTCATACATGTCATTATGCCTACACAGCGAATGTATATACACCGTGGACAGAACAGGGAAAGGAAGGGATGCAACTGACAAGACAAGCTGATTATGCGACCCCGCTGTAACTGACCACGGGAGTCCATCTGAGCACCGCGACGCGTTGATGGCAGGCAGGGAGCCACGCCGAAAGGGGAACGGATGCGGCAAGGAAATCTGACTGAGGAGACACGGGCTGGAAACGGGCACAACAACAAAACGAACGAGGCAGATGATGGGGAGGAGGATGGGGAGAACACGAGTGCTGTTCAACGTGACCCCTGGTCAGAATATGTTCTCTCCTCCCATTCGTGTCGTTGTGCTCATGTGCGCTACACGTTCTGATGACACCTTGGGAACCCTTTCGTAAAAGAATCTGGCTAACGTATCGAGCGCGCTCCACACATGGAAAATCGTCAACCAAGGAAATGGAAGGGCCGCCTCCGGGGGCTACTGCGGAAGGGCGCTACTGTCCAATTACAGCCTCCCTGTCGCTGTCTAACTTGCGCGGGCGAGGCTGGGAAATGCTGCAGGGTTTCACTTGCCAGTAGGTGCTGATAAATATGAGCAGCTATCAATCACAGGCAGCCCCCTACGATTATAAGGAGTTATTGCAATGACGTCCCCCGACTCCTCAAAGCCCTCAACGAGACGGCTGTTAGTCTGCCAACCTGAAATATCTTATATGGTACCACCATTGAGTAGGGGGCCATGAGAGAGGCACGTCCAGAGAAAACAGCTTCATGATTTCGAAACCGATCAATATCGTCCCATGCGAAAGATTGGCGGCTTTGTCGGGACATGCCGGGATAAATTCGATGAGGGCAGCTGAATGCATGGGAGCCCTTTCTTTCAGATGTGCTCTAACGGCGCGACGTAGCTTGTCGGCCTTCCTCCCATGTTGAATATACTGAACACCGTTGGCCTAAGGATGACCCGAGACACGGACGGCGGCGAGTTGCTAGCGCCGATGAAGGATGAGGCTCGTGGGTGAAGCCGTCCTGCAAACCGATCCAAGATCGGGCTTTCGTACCATCGTCGCTTTCTGAAAGGAACGAGCCCCCTGGAGGCCGAACACTGCTCAGAACCTCCCGTCGTAACCCAATTACTCCTGGCACACGTGTGGAACCGACTTGGCAACAAAAAACAACATAAGCTAATCTTCAAGGGCATCAACGCTTGAAAATAACAACGACATCTCGGCTAAACCCGAAACTCTCCACCAGCAAAATTCAGACAAAAACCGAAACTCGATAGACTAACCGCACTGTAAATGTTGGCAATAATGCAAAAACAACCAACAAATCGAGAGGTGCATTGTCGACAAAACGCAAACGAAACAAAAACAGCTTCTCGGTCTGAAAACATAAACATGCATTTGCAATGCAAGGGCAACGAACTCAACAATAACTTAATAATGTGCCATGGAAACGAAGAAACGTTCATATCCTTTCTGCTTTAGTTTCAACGCGAGCGCATATTTGGTTTCAAACACGCTCCTAACGTCCTTCTGCGGTTTCGAATGGTCATCTTGCGAAAAGAAATTATACTACATGTCTTCACTCGTTGCGACTCTGGCTCGGATTACACAAGTTTGCGGTTTGCGCGGTGTCGCTCGTCACAGGGGCCAAGAAAACTCGAAACACTCTCCGCAACTAAGAAACTCAAATCAAGCAATTCGCACGAAACTCCCGAAGGCACCGCGGGCCGCGAGAGAGGCCAATGGAAGTACACCTGCCCGTTCAGGAGGAGGCCACGACCCACAACAGAGGCCCGTCCTGAGGGGTTCGACGGTGCGCCCACCGTCGTCGTGCAACCGCCGCGGAAAATTTGACAACGCTGGGCTACCCTGAAGGGTTGAACGGTGCCCGCCAACAAAAATCGACAACGAAATCTTGGATCCGACGGTCACCCCAGTCCTGCAGCGACTATGTTACCCATGCGCGTCGAGAGGAGGCTGAATTCTCGTGTCGAAATTCGGGTCTCCGGCAACCGTTCGGGACAATCCAAGAACCCCCGGAACGCCCCCAGCGAGGCGCAGCTGCTGGAAGGCATCGAGACTGGAAAACCTCTGGGAACATACGAAGACTGGGGGAAGAGAAAACGGTATAAACATAAACTGTCAACGGTCCCTGGGGATTTGTGGGATTGGGGCGGGGACAGTGGGGGCGCCCCTCCTCCCAGGCTTTGGGTGTGCGGAACGGGTGCGGAAAACGTGGGCACGATGCCCGACAACAAAGGTGGTCCAAAATCGACAGCGGCTAACAGGGGATATGTCGACCCCTTATCCCAACCATCGTGGGTTTTTCTGGACCACGAATTTGGGACCTAACCCTGGGATATACGATGGGGGGCGCGTCCAGCCTCGATGGGGGTGCGTTCGATTAGCCCCCTCTGGAGGTGTATCCCAGGGTTTCCTTCCTTTTCTGAGCGGTTTCATTTCTGGTCGAAGCGTCGGGGGTTGGGGGAGAACGCCCTTCTCTGACTATTATGAAAGCAACGCCAGACACCTTCACATGTGCAAACAGACCGCCGTGGTCTTTTCTGAATCCGCGGTCGGTATACACAGGTGAGCTGTGGACACTGTTATGTTTGCACGTTTCGTGGCAATCTGCCACCCCCATGCATAGACGGACCAGACCGCCGCTGAAAACTACGAGATTAGGTGTGTGTGTGTGTGCGTGAGTGCAGGTGGGAGACAACAAACGTTGCCCAACAACGACATCGGCCGCTGTTGGGCTCTCGGCCTTCTGCCTCAAGTGGAGAACGCCAGCGGCAACGCCGATAACGAACCCTGTTCACAGAGGACAAGAACTGCTGTCGGTCTTCGTGCCCATTCTCTCCGTACCCATCTCGATCCTACCGAATGGTGGTCTCGCTGCTTCCCGCCGCCCTGCTGCCCCTGAGAGCCGACGTAGCGGAAAAATGACAACATCGCGAAAAATCACGCCCTGAGCGCTAGACCCCATCTTGTTGCACCACTTCTGGAGCTGGATCGAACTGTGAGGGTCCTGGGGCCCGAAAGTATTCGAAAACGCACGGCTCGAAAACGCCCGGCTCGAAAAAAAGCGACGCCACGATCTCAGGGGCAACCGATCCTGCAAGATCCTGCAGGATCCTGAACGCTGGCCCGGGTCAATGCAACCCTGGCTTTGCAGGATCCTGCAAGGCCCAGCGCCCTGACTGTCCCCCGTTTGCATTGACCCCCGTCTCTTGAGTCCCGAGGTCTCCCCGCTGCCCGCCGCCCGACTGCAGCCGACACCCCAGACCCCCGACGTCCTGATTTTTTCACGACGTCGACCCCCAGAGGTCTGGACCCCTCCCTGAACCGGAACTGGCCCTTCCTCCTGCGAGTCGTTTTTGGACGGTCCCGGGGCCCGGCGAGGGCCCCCCGGAGGCCGAAAGGTGTGAAAAACCGCCCGCCGTGAATTCCTCACCGCGCGAGGGGAGAGAGAAGAGATAGCATGCTGCTACGCATGAGTTTGATGCAGAAGGGTGAATTGGATCCGTCAGTGGATCAGTCCTGTGTACTGACGTAGAAGCTATGATGTTTCTTTTTGGCAGTGGGCCAGCTTATGATGCCAACCGATGCCCACCCCGTCCCGTCTCCAGGGGCTCCGCATCCCCCTATGACGGTGGGATGGGGAGACCGTCCGCCGCCCCCTGCGCCGCACGTGCTGCGCAGGGCTAGTGGGGATTCGAATCGAATTCCGTGGGGGAGCCCCGGCCACCCGCCGAGAGCGGCGCGCCCCGCCTCGAGCTCTGCTGCTCGCGCGTGGACTGCGGGCGCGCAGAGGTGGGCCGCGGCTCTGGCGCCAGCGCCTCGGCGGGCGGGGCACCCGGGGGTCCTCCACACTGCACCGACACTGCAGACGTGCTGCCGCGGATTTTTGTGCGGTTTTCGGGCAATGCAAAACCCCGAAACGGCGAGCAAAAAGCGAAGTGAATTTCATGTGGATGTTTGTTCATCTTCATTCCTGGACTTCGGTGATGTTCCCTCGCGCGTTGTGGAAAAATCACGGCGGGAGAATTTCTCATAATTTTTCGGCCTCCGGGGGCCCTCACCGGGCCTCGGCACCGTCAAAAAACAACTCAGGATGAAAAAGCGGTCCCGGGGAAGGGGTCCAGACCTCTGGGGGTCGACGCTGGGAAAAATCACGTCGGAGGTTTGGGACGTGCGTTATAAGGGAGGGAGGGGGGGGTAAAAAAAACACTCTCCAGTCAGCACCGACTGGGCGAATCGGATCGAATCGAAGGGTTGGGCTGCATCGGCTAGATATCAACATCGGGTCGGATCGGCTGCGCCAGGGTGCACAACAAGGCCATGCAAACATCGGGCCGTATCGGAGCGTCGGAACATCGGAATCGAATCGGATCGGGCTGATCGGGATCGACATCGAATCGAAATGATCGGATCGAAATGGACCCTGCAAGGGGGGTCGGGGGAGGGGGGAAGGCTCCTCAGAAGGAGGCTACTCCTTAAAAGGCGCCGGCCTCACATCTACAGATCAAGCCCGCGCCTTCCAAGAAGCAGTGGCGCTCCTAAAAGGCCTTCCCCATTCCCCCATACCTCCCTTCTGCGCGCAGATGATATTGGAAACTACGACGGACGGGTTCGGGGGATTCTTCGGCATCCGGGGGGCCCTCACCGGGACCGAGGGGCGTCAAACAACAGCTCGGGATGAAAATCCGGTGCTGGGGAAGGACGCCGGGATCTCTAGGATCCTCTTGGGCCTTTTTCCGTTCTTCCCCAAACCCGCACCACGCACCCTTAAGACGAAGCGCCGCCATTTGGCCACGGAGCTGACACCTCTGGACCACATGGCCATGCAACACCAGACGGGCTGGGCTCGGGCGCTCGGGCGGAAAAAAGTGCAAGAAGGGGGGGTCGAAAAAGGACAATCTATCTCAGCTGACTTGACCGACTTCCTGGGTCGGCGCTGGACCCCCCTGGCGGAACCTGTTCGCGCCATGGACGGGGGCCCCGCGCCGATCGAAGAAGCCTGCGCGACCCCGTAGGATCCTCTTGGCTTCGGTCGGGAACTTGTGCTGGAACGGGTCGGGGCGGCGGCCCCGGCGACACGCGACGCCCTTCCAGGCTGGTGGCGTTTCGCTCCGCTTCGCTGGGCGGCCGAATGTGAAAAAAAAGGCTTGCGACGTTGACGTTTGCGGACCGAGGCGTGTTTAGCTCGTCGCGCCGAAGCAAGGTGGACCAGAACCAGCAGCGCGACGCGCTGATTAATCAAAATGTCCCGGCCGCGGTTCCGAGGTCCGCAGCACGCACCCTTCAGTCGAAACGCCACCGTTGAAATCTTACGATGGTGCTCCTTCTCACAACTCGCTGGCAAGTAGCTCGAACTTCTTCAACGAAAGCTGCTCGACAAGGGGCACGTCGTTTCGATCGTGAACCGCCAGTTCCGCACCGCTGTCCAAACTTTTGCCGTCGCGGCGCGGCAAGATCCGCTCGCGCGAGTGGCAACACTGTGCTACGGAGTCGTGAATTGGCCCGCATGCAAGAAGAGAGGAGAGAGGGGAGAGGGCGGCCGTAAAGAGGGGACAGGAGCGGGGGGGCACTCTCACGCAGCGGGGCCGCGGGGAGCGCGCGGGGGCGGCCAGGCTGAAGGGCAACCCCTGGCAGGGCGCGGGGCGGCATCACGACGCACCCAGGGGCGGGGCCAACACCCACAGCACGGGTGAGACCCAGCAAGTGGGAAAATGGGAGCAGCTGGCGGCCGGCAAGACGGGGCGCCTACGCCGGGGGTGGGGGGCCGCGTGAGCGATCGGCACGGGTCAGGGGCGCGGTGCGTCCGGCGCTGCGGCGGCTGCGGTGGAGTACCCTGGGCGGAGAGCAGGCGGAGCAGCGGCGCAGTGCCACTGGGTAGCCGGGCGGCGCAGGCAACAGAGGCGAGGTGGTGAGGGCGACCGGTGGAGAAGCGAACGCCATCCCAAGGCTGGCGCACGGTATCACAGCCCAGGACGTCGCGGAGCCAAGTACAAGTGTCGCACAGGCGGGCTCCCTGTCCAAACAAGAAGGCGAAGTACAGCACGCTGAGGGGAGGGATGCTCTTGGTGCAACAACCAGTTTCCAGGCCGCTCTGCATTCACAGTGGAAGCTGCCGCACAGCTTCGGCAGCTTAGTCGTAGCACAAAAAAATAGGAGTAGTAGTACTAGTATTAGTACTAATACTAGTACTAGTACTAGTACTAGTACTAGTAGTAGTAGTAGTAGTAGTAGTAGTAGTAGTAGTAGTAGTAGTAGTAGTAGTAGTAGTAGTAGTAGTAGTAGTAGTAGTAGTAGTAGTAGTAGTAGTAGTAGTAGTAGTAGTAGTAGTAGTAGTAGTAGTAGTAGTAGTAGTAGTAGTAGTAGTAGTAGTAGTAGTAGTAGTAGTAGTAGTAGTAGTAGTAGTAGTAGTAGTAGTAGTAGTAGTAGTAGTAGTAGTAGTAGTAGTAGTAGTAGTAGTAGTAGTAGTAGTAGGTAGTAGTAGTAGTAGTAGTAGTAGTAGTAGTAGTAGTAGTAGTAGTAGTAGTAGTAGTAGTAGTAGTAGTAATAGTAGTAGTAGTAGTAGTAGTACTAGTACTAGTAGTAGTAGTAGTAGTAGTACTAGTACTAGTACTAGTACTATTAGTAGTAGTAGTAGTAGTCGTCGTAGTAGTAGTAGTAATAGCCGTAGTAGTCGTAGTACTAGTAATACTAGTAGTAGTAGTAGTAGTAGTAGTACTAGTAGTAGTAGTAGTAGTAGTAGTAGTAGTAGTAGTAGTAGTAGTCGTAGTAGTAGTAGTTGCGGTAGTACTAGATGTAGTAGAAGTAGTAATAGTAGTAGTAGTAGTAGTAGTAGTAGTATATAGTACTGGTACCATGAGCAATAGTGGTAATAGTAGTAGTCGTAGTAGTAGTAGTAGTAGTAGTAGTAGGAGTAGTAATGGTAGTGGTAGTAGTAGTAGTAGTAGTAGTAATAGTCGGAAAAGTTGTTACAGCAGTAGTAGTGGTAGTCCTCGTAGTAGTAGTAGCAGTAGTGGTAGTAGCAGTAGTAGTAGTAGTAATAGTAATAGTAGTAGCAGTACTAGTCGTAGTACGAATGGACGTCGTAGTCGTCGACGTAGAAGTAGAAATACTCTTTGTAGTAGTCGTACCAGTCGTAGTCGTAGTCGTAGTGGTAGTCGTAGACGTAGGTCGTAGTAGACATAATAGTAATACTACGAATCGAAGCAATAGAAATAGTAGTCCTAGTCGTAGCAGTACTAGTTGTAGAAATAGTAATGATAAGCGCGGTCGCAGTAGCAGTAATAATAGTAGTAGTCGTAGTGGTAGGAATAGAAGTATTCGTAGCTGTCGTAGTTAAGGGAATCTAGTCGTGGTGGTAGTAATAGTAGTAGTTGTAGTAGTAGTAGTCGCCGTCGTCGTCAGGGTCGTAGAAGGTGTGGTAGTAGTTGTAGCAGTAGTAATAGTAGTAGTAGTAGTAGTAGTAGTAGTAGTAGTAGTAGTAGTAGTAGTGGTAGTAGTAGTAGTAGTAGTAGTACGAGAAGTAGCAGTAGCGGTAGGAGTAACAGTAGTAGCAGTAGTAACAGTAGTAGTGGTAGTAATAGTAGCAGAAGCAATCGTACTCGTCGTAGTAGTAGTAGTAGTAGTAGTAGTGGTCTTAGTGGTAGTAGTAGAAGTAGTATTAGTAGTAGTAGTAGTAGTAGTAGTAGTAGTAGTAGTAGTAGTTGTAGTTGTAGTAGTAGCAGTAGCAAGACTAGTCGGAGAGGTAACAGTAGTCGTAGTCGGATTTGTAGTAGTAATAAAAGTACAAGCAGTAGTAATAGTCGTAGATGTAGTTGACGCAGTCGTAGCAATAAAAGTAGTAACAATAGTAGTAGTAGTAATAGTAGTAGCAGCAGTAGTAGTAGTAGTAGTAGTAGTAGTAGTAGTAGTCGTAATATTGGTAGGAGGAGTTAGCAGTAGTGGTAGTAGTCGTTGTAGTAGTAGTAGTCGTCGTCGTAGTTGTAGCTGTAGTAGTGGTAGCAAGGGGTAGTAATACATATAGTAGTCGTCGTCGTGCAAGTAGTAGTAATACGAGTAGCAGTTGTAGTAGGCGTAATAATAAACATAAAAAACATACAAGTAGTCGGCGGGGCCGTGCGAATAATCGTAATAGGAATGGTAGTCGCGCTACTAGAAGAAGTAGTGGGAGTAGTCGGTAGTAGTAGTAGTAGCAGTAGTAGAAGTAGTCGCTGTTGAAGTA